AGAAATGTTGGGAAAGAGAGTTTAGACTCTGTAATCAATAATCAAATTTGGAAGCCATATTTGGCTCTTCTCTAGGCCATGAGAGTAACCTCGGATAGAGAATAAATCCAAGCAGCACATTGTTGCAATCTGCACAAACTAGAAAAGCAGCCTGAAGTTCTACACTGGCCATGCAGTGCCAAGGGAGAAAGACACGAGGTAGCGTGGTTTGCTGTAGTGTCGTTTGCTCGGACTTTTTTTTTTTTTTATAAATATTTTATTGATTTTTACAGAGAGGAAAAGAGAGGGATAGAGAGTTAGAAACATCCATGAGAGAGAAACACTGATCAGCTTTCTCCTGCATGTCTCTACTGGGGATGTGCCCGCAACCAAGGTACATGCCCTTGACCAGAATCAAACCTCGGAATCGACACTCTATCCACTGAGCCACGCCAGTCAGGGCTGCTCTGTCTTTATAACTTCCTTGCTTTTACTTGCTAAATCCATTGCACAGGATCTTTCCATGAAAAAAAAATACTCACCCAGAATGCAGGGGAAAGTGGTTTTTGTCAAAACTGGGGAGTAGAATAGGGAGAAACAAGTAGGAAGCCAAATCTGGGACAGTCCATCCCTTCAATCCTGGAGACATTTTTCTCCTGAAGACCAGGCTCCTTCTAGCAGTGCAGCTGCACCCAGACTTGAGTGCAGCAGGGAAAGGAAGATTCTAAATAACCTCAGGGAACCCTGGGGGAATGAGTTGAGAGGCCATTTGGCCCCAGAAACTAATACAGAAACCCTGCCACCTAAGGTCTATGTCAGAAATAGATGCTTGTGTAAATACAACTGAAAGCAGGCAGAAAAATAAAGTGGGAAGATTGATCCCACCTGCTTGAAACCAAGGTTGTGGCATATGACACACAGGAAACGTGGATTGCTGGGAACTTCAACATTGTGCTGACTACCTGACAGGAAGAACAGTAGAGAGGGGTCTTAAACCAGCCCCTATAGGACATTGAAGCACGGCTGAAGTGAATGAACTTAACTTTTTTATTTTTTATCCTTTACTTAAGAAACTAAAAAAAAATTCTCACTTTATTTTTTATTTTTATTATTATTTTAATTTATTATTATTTTTTAACCTTTTTCCATTTTTTATTTTTTTGGATTAGTGTTCTACATTCTATTTTTACTTTTTATCATTATTTTACTCTATCTCATTTTTTCCTTTATGCCAACACTTTCTTCCTCATGTTTCCCTTTTTCATCCTGTTTCTCTTCTATTCCTGCTTAAATTTTTCTCAATCCTTTTTTTACTTCCTGTTAAAAATTGACCTTCTTTATCTGCTTTACTTTATTTATTTTTTAAAATATATTTTATTGATTTTTTACAGAGAGGAGGAGAGAGGGATAGAGAGCCAGAAACGTCGATGAGAGAGAAACATCGACCAGCTGCCTCCTGCACACCCCCTACCGGGGATGTGCCCACAACCAATGTACATGCCCTTGACCGGAATCGAACCCGGGATCTTTCAGTCCGCAGACCGACACTCTACCACTGAGCCAAACTGGTTTCGGCTTTATCTGCTTTATTGATGCATTGCTATTAAAGTTGAATGACTCATATATCTAATTTCCTCTCCCATCCTCCAAATTCATGCACACTTCTCTTTTCTCTTTCTTCACTAGCCAAATTTTTTCTTTATTTCTTGTAGTTGTTTGTTTTATTGTTTATTAGTTTGTTTTTTGTTCTTATTTTATGCTTTTGTTTTTCCTCTCATCACTTATTCTCTTCTTCTTAATCAGTTTCAATTACCAACTCAGGCCTATCTGCTCTCTATTCTTCTTTTCCAAAAATAGATGAATACATAGATATGTATTGTAGATTAAAGAGGAAATTTTTATATTTTTTAATTTTATATATATTTTAATTATTATATTTTTAATTATTTTTTCAATCATTATTTTCTACTTTTTTCAGTAGTTTGTTTTTTACTTTTATTCTGATACACGTATTCTCTTTCTACCTCCTGTATACTGAATCATGGCCATTTTCCGATTCAGTTCCTTGAACTTATTATACATTCTGGAAATGAGCTCTGCTCTTCAGTTTCCTTCTTTCTTTCCTGGGTGTTTATTGTTTGCATTTTTTGGTTTAATTGTTGGTTTTTGGGATTTTTCTCCCCATATACATATATTTTCCCCCTTCTTTTTTCTTTTCCTTCTTACCTTTTTTCAATATCATTTTTGTGCTCTTTTCTCTCCCTCAATTGGCTTTTCTCTGGTGGGATTATTGGTATCGTGAATATATTTGTGTTTTGTGCCCTCTTTGTTGTGTCTTATTGAGTTGTATTTTGTGCCTTAAAGTCAACACGGTAGAGAAAAAGCCACATAACCAGACACCCTGAGAAGAGTGAAAATGGGGAGACAAAGAAACAGTCCCCATACGAACAAAAAGGAGAAATCACCGGAAAAAGAAGTAATCAAAATGGAGGCAAGCAATTCATCAGAGAAAGAATTCAGAGCAATAGTCTTAAGGATCCTGAAAAGGAAGGAAGACAAATTCAACAACATGTGTAAGAACCAAGAGGAAATGAAGAACTAAGAAGAAATGAAGAATGACATAGCTGCAATAAAAAAACACAATAGAAAGCATCAACAGTAGACTAGAAAAAGCTGAGAACTGCATCAGTGAGCTAGAAGACAAGGTAGGAAAAAATACCCAAGCAGAGCAGCAACTGGGAAAAAAAAATTAAAAAACAGGAGGAGAGCTTAAGGGAGCATTGAGATAACACAAAACAAAACAACATCCGCATAATAGGGGTGCAAGGAGAGGAAACTGAGCAAGGAATAGAAAAACGTGTTTGAAGAAATAATGACAGAAAACTGATATTGGGAAGAAAAAACTCACACAAGTTCAAGAAGCTCACAGCGTCCCAAACAAGATGAACATAAAAAGACTGACACCAAGATACATTATAATTAAATTGGCAAACACCAAAAGGGTGGGGCCATGAAATTCGTGCACATTAAAAGGGAATTAATTAGAGGAAATATTTTAATATTGCTATTTGCCCTTTCTCTATAATAGAAGTGTCAAAGATGAAAGAAATTTGTAAAATGAGTATGAAAATCTCCCCCCTGTCAAAGTCTGAGCATGCTGCAGGGCCCAGAGTCAAGTCTCCGCCCACCTGCACACACCTCAAAATCTCAGGAGACCCAGATTTGGCTGGACCCACCCCTGTCAAGCCCTGCAGGGCAGGGGGGCCCTGGAGCGAGGGCATGAGGGCTCAAGGGCAAGAGGGCGGGAGGGCACGAGGCCACAACAACCATTTGTATATTAATTCTTTATTATATAGGCTGTCCAGAATAGGAAAAATATAGAGACAAAGTAGATATTGAGAGGGCAGGGCAAGGTGAGGATGGGCTCCTGACTCCACTGTGGGGCAGGGCGGAGTTATCCTCCATATTGTGGCTGGACTCTAGCCCTCACCCAACCAATCAGGGTTAGCTGAGGCAGTGACATCACCAGCGACCTGAGTAAGACCCCTGGACTGGGCGAAATTCACTCTCTCTTCTGCCATGCTGTTGGGGTGAGTGGGACAGAGCCCATGCTAGCATTTATTAATGACCCCGGACTTCCAGATTTCCTATCCACATCTCTCTATTAATGACAATTATTGGTTTCTGGCAGCTATGTATACTTCTTTTTCCCATACATACATAATTATGGTAAAGTTTCATTTATAAATGAAAGTAAGAGATTAACACCAATAATTGAAACAATATACTATAATAAAAGTTATGTGAAAGTGGTGTCTCTCAAAATATTTTATTGTACTGTACTCATCTTTTCACTAAAGGAAGCAGTTTAGGGCCTTTTTTTTTTTTTTTTTTTGTGGTAGCATCACTACTCTTGCATTTCGGGGCCACTGTTAAGTAAAATAAAGGTTACTTGACCACAAGCACTGCAACGCTGGGAGGATAGACGGCCTGGAGTGGCTGGATAATGATATGACTCACATCCCAGGCTGGACAGAGACGGGTGATATGAGATTTAATCGTGCCACTCAGAATGGTGCACAGTTAAAACTGCAAGTTGTTCATTTATGGAACTTTCTATTTAACACTTTCACAGTTGACCCAGGTAACTGAAACTATGGAAAGTCGGGTGATGAAATACCTAACCTTCCCTCCTTGGGAAGAAGAAGCAAGGCACAGAGTCCAGGAGACTAAAAGGGGGGAGGGGGGAGGTTTTAATATTGCGCTCCAGAGCGAAGCTCGCTGGTCCGAGGGTGGGCCAGGGACGTTGACGCCGAAAAGCGGCTTAGGTACTTCTCTTATACAACTGTTTAGTGAGGGGAGGGTGGAGGGCATGAGAGGTGTGGAATTCCTGCCTGGGCCAGAGGTCTAGGAAGGCGCCAGCTATCTTTGTCACCATCTACCTTGCAGATGCTTGCATCGGCTATGGGCTTCCCCCCTGCCTCGACCTAACAATTACTAGAGTTGTAGGTGCCTCTAGTGCTTAAAATCCTAGTTTATTAACTTGTTCGTAGATTGTCTGACGTCAGCACATCAGGATCCAGTAGAGTGCTTTGGCATTTAATAGGTGCTTACATGGACGTTTATTTAACAAAGAGAGATCTACAAGCAAAGCTAAATAAATGCAAAATAAAGAACCCAGTACATGGATACCTGCCCAAAAAGAAGACACAAAAATAGAAACGAATAAAGTAGAAAAAAAAAAGAAATGGATAAACAGTGGATATCCCCCCCGCACTCACCCCCCCGCCCCCCCCCCTCCTTCCTCGGCTTATGACGATTTCCCTGGCGGCATCATAGCCAGAGGCTTACTTTCCCGCCTCGCTGGGACATAGGAGAGGGTGGGGCCCGCGCGGAAGGCGGCGCTACGTCATATCCGGTTCGACTGGCGCCTTTGCGGGGAAGGAACCCGGGCGCCGAGGGGCGGGGCCAACAAAGCGCGCGTTTTGAGAGGGGGCGGGGCCTAGCTAAAGACGCTGCGTCACATCCGCGAGACTCAGAGCCCGTGTGGCAGCGGCGCGGAGCGGTCGGGTTCCCGACGGCGTGGAAACTTGCGGGCGCTGACAGGCCGCGGCCGAGCCTCTGTCAAGAAGGCGCAAGAGGTCGGCAGCTTCGGTTGAAGCACATCGAGCCGAGCGGCGGAGGCGGAGGCAGCGGCAGCAGCAGCGAGTCATGAGCGACAGCGGCGAGCAGAACTACGGCGAGCGGGTACGTAGAGGTGCAACAGGGGGGGCGGGCGGCTGTGTGGTCCCAGCTTCTTGCATCTCTTTCCAGGCCCGCCGGCCTCGGACAGGGAGGTGGGGCGATTTTGGCTCCGAAGTCAGGCCGGGAGGAGAGCAGAGGAGAGGAGTCGGATTGAAAAGGCGTTTGTGAATAAGTGTTTTTATTCGTGAAGAAGGCCAGAGAGGCAGGTTTACGTGGCCCCGGACCCGAGTAGGCGGTTTTTTTCTGTTACAAGGGGGGATTAAGATGGCCGCTGCGTCCCCTCGGTGTTGGGGGAGGGGTGCGGGATCTTATTTCGCCGTTGCTCTCCGGCGAGGCCTTGCCGCCGCCATCTTGGGCTGGCGGGCCGGGCGCGCTGCCAGAGGCACAAAATGGCGGCAGAGCCGCGACTCCACGCGGGCCAGCGCCGCGCCTCACAGGCCTACGTGGGTTAGAAAAAGAAAAGAAAGCACGTTCTTTGGGGACTTTCACCCGGTGTTTGGATTAACAAAGGGTCGTCTTATGAAGCAACCCCCTCCTCTCCCGAGGGTGGAACCTTGAGTGTTCTTGGGGCTTCTTTTAGGATGAGGAGAACCCAGCTGAGGCCAACGCAGTTCTCGGCCCGTTAATTGAGGAGATTGCGCGCGGGCTTTGTGGTAGGCCTAAATGGAGCGCTTTTGATACCGAAAGTGCTTTCAAACCAAAACCCGTTATCAGAGTATACCAATAGAAGAGACCACGAGATCTCTTAACGTTTTCTTATTTTTATAGAGTAGGTATTTTTCCATGGGATTGTATACGACAAATTGGCGGGCAACGACGATTTACGGCGCCGTTACTTCCTTTGTTTCGAGACATTCTAATTCTGTGGATCACTTGTACCTGTTCTTTTTGTTTTTGTTTTTTTAAAGTCTCCGCCTCCCAGGTGGAGTTTGGTGCGGGTTGATTAGATTTAGGAATAAAACAGTTCCCAGGTTTTAGACTGCACGTTATAAAGGGTGGCAGGGTGTAGGCTCTAATGACAATGCAAGGCTTGCCAGAGTCTTGCATGTTTGGAGATTAAGGAGAATTTGTTAGAAGAGCGGTAAAAAGCACCATAGAACTTAGTTTTTTAACTTGATAGAAATAAGATAGGTGTTTTTAACAGTCCCCCTTCCTAGTAGAGCCACCTCAAAGTAAGTCTAATTGTCAGGTAAATCTCAGATATCTTAGCCAACGCGTGTAAAAACAGGTTCGAGTGGTTTAAAAATATCTTAGCTCCTGGCGCTTTACTGAATTTACTGTGTAACATTGGAGCAAAATCTGTTTGATTTGGTTTGAATCAGTCAGGTCTCCCTTATATATATTTAGGTGATTGTTTCATAGGGTAAGTGAGTTTGAATTGGGCTCACAAATTGTGAAGATTGTGACTTCTAGTTTCTACTAGTTGAATATACTTTGGAAACCAGTCATTGATATTTCGACTGGAAGGCAAACGATAATTTTTAGTGGTCAGTGTTAAAACAATTACTGGGCACTTTTGCATTGTTTAGGGACTACAATATGACAGGTTTCTGACTAGCTTAGTTGAATATTCCTGGAAGAGTTACTTGATCGTGACCTTGAGGGGATGAAAATTTGCCTAAAAGAAAATAAGTATGTTTTACACAAGAGAAACCAGTTGTGGTTAGGTCCAGGTTTGAGACAACTGAAGAGGTGTCATCAATTAGAATTTTTTTGAATCGGGCATATTTTCTTCTGTACATCCTAGTGTTTTCCATAATGCTATTACATAGAATAGGTATTCACTAAGTTATTATGAAAAGAGAAAGATATAAAATAACTTTAAGTTACATATTAGAAGGAAAAAAATTTCTTAGGAGTCATGATTTTTCCTGGAAGACATTTCTAAACTTGAAGTTGTGGGATACTTCCATTTTATTTGATTTGGTGTTTTGTATGTTTGCTTTCCAATTGGTGGTTTGAACCTGGGGTTGTTAGAATAGACCCAAAACATGTGTTTGGACTCCAACGAATGTTTGGCAAACCATAAAGGTCGGTGGAACAGTTAAATTACCATAAAAAGGGCTGGGAGGGTAGAACAGTCAGGTCTGATTAGCGAAAAAGTTGCTTTCGGGGCAGTAATCTTGGACGTGCCTGCATCCTCTTTGTGGAGCCTGAAAAATTACTTTTCATTTCACTCTAGGCTCTCAAACATTCCAAACTGACCATGTAAATAAAATCGCTCATAAAATCTCAGTTCTGCTGTAATCTCACCCTTCCTTTATATAATCTAATACACTCTCACAAATCTCAAAGTAACACCTGAATTTTTTTGCCCCTAATCCTTTAGACATTGGAAGTTGTTCCTCTTCTAAATAGAAATGTGTGTATATGCAGTAATAAAGTATCCTCTTAAAACTGATTTAGTATGCCTTCCCTTGTCTTGTTTTAAATGTGTATGTTGAGTATGTTCTTGAATATTTGTGGTTCATGTCACATTTTTATGGCAGAATTTATCTTTTACCTTTACCTGGGATTTTTGTGTTAAAGTTGATTACAAGAAATGTGTCTCTAATTAGAGTTGAGGTCCCTTATCTGGCCAAACTTATGCAAAAGTAAATAAAAAACTTTTATGGTCTCCAAATTAAAGTATCCTCCAGAATTTCCAAAACTTGCCTGCAAACTATTTTTATCTTAATAGACATATTTGCAATATAGGTACTTTATCTTCAGTCTTAACTTTCCTTAGACATGAATAGTGTCTGGATACCATCACATCAAGCTGCCCTTCAGATTCTGCATTGTTTTCTGTTTATAATTCTTTGTGTATTCTTTGCTTTTAGCCCCAAATTCTAACTTTTATAATTAAAACATCTCAATCTAATTCTTTTCTAGAAAATTGTAGCCATTGCACCAACTTCCTTTAATTAAGGATTGAATTTATGGCGTGAGAGGAAATAGTTTGTTTCATAGTGAGTGGTTAGATATGAGTCTCTTGAAGAAACCAGGTTAGCTAAAAATATTTAAATAAAGTAGATGGTGTCTGAAACTAGAAAGTGACATTGTGAAACTGAAATTCCAAGTGATAAGGTAAGTAATATTGGTTTGGGGGGGTGGATAAGAATTTTGATGGTGAGAGATAAATGGAATTCCACTTGTACATCCAATTCCCATTTATAGCTAATAAAACCCCAAATCTAAGTGATTAATATTTTTATAGTTGATATTTTTGCCAAGAGTATGGAACTACCATTGTCTATCTTTTGCACCTTAGCACTGTGTCATTTGTTGATCTGTTTCTATACATAAGTTGTGTTATCTCACATTGTATAGTGATGGGGAATTTAAGTGTTTTACCAAGGTTAGTTTGGGGTGGTATGAGCCACATTAAATTAGGTAGTATTTTATTGTCAGTTTTGTTTTCAAGTTGCAAGCCAGAAAAGTTCTTCACTACAGCAAATTAGTCTTTAAGTTACCCTAAACCTTTACTTTGAATTGGGTTTGGGGAGTTATTTTCAGATTGTTACTTTCATCAACATGGATGGTCTATGTGATTGAGGTGAGGTCTGTCTTTTGCATTGGTTTTTGTGCTTAGGTATTAGATGAAGAATAGGTAGTCTTCTGAAAGTCAAAAACATACTTAAACTTGCTTTTGCTGGAAAGTATTGAATGTTTTATTAATGTAAATTTTAGAGTGCAGTTATTGCAAGAGATCTCTCAAAAGCATGGGCTGAAAACTGGAGGTATGTCAGATAGTGGGGGTTTTTTGTGTTTGTTTTGTGTGTGTTTTTTGTTTTGTTTTCTCTTCCAGAGTATATTCTCAGTTTGAGTGTTTTTCTATCTACCCAATCTTCTGGTAGAGTGGCTGCAAAAAAAAAAAAAAAAGATTAAATAGTCCTTATAGTGATACAAGAAATTACCATAATGGCAAGATTGATTTGCTCCCTCCCAATTTTTAAAATATTAACCTTGGAACCAGCCTAATGAGTTTGCACGTTTTTAATGTTACATGAATTCCACTTTTGTAATCTAGAATCGTTTTAATGGGAAAATTGTTGACAGGATGGGACAAGTTTCTGCTTATTTCTAAGTAGGCTCTCTTCACCAAGTAATTAACTCAATAATTGGTCTTAATGGTTTTATAAAGTGGCCACTTGGTAGCTAAGTTGAAATAAACCTCTTATTTACATTATTTAGTTCAAATACAAAAAAGGAAAGGTTGGGAAGGAGTAATAGCAGGAAGATGTCCATATTTAAAAGTTGTGATATCTAGAGCTTCGGCCTCCATTCCTGTACCTTCTGCATCCAAGTCCTGTGTCTGTACATACTCTTTAGAGGAGCCCTAGGAGGAAACCTGCTTGGGCATTCTGATTCCACGATTACATTTGTGCTGCTAGCAAACAGTTCCCATTACATTTTAGTGATGGATACTAAAAACAAAAAAAAACAAAAAAAAAAAGCTAATTACTGTGACTCCCTTAAATAAAAACCTATTTAAAAATTTTCCTGGGTTAAGTAAACAATAATTGACTTTTTAAAACGATATTGAAATTAGGCTTACTTAGAAAAGACAGCACTTCCACAAATAACCATGATGGTCTTTATGCCCAGATAGATATAAAGACTTTTTTTTTTTTTTTTTAGAAAGCTTTATTTTTCCTAGAAAGAAAATAAAATTAGGAGAGGAAATTGACAGTGAAACAGACATAAGATGAAATGCAGGAAAACGAGTGTTTTATGAGGACAGTATTTTGTTTAAGGTGTTGAACAGGCACTAGTTAATATATTGATGTTAAATATTTTTAGTAACTTGAAGAGGTGAGCTATACTTTCTCCCATATTGCCACCTTTAAAAAAGTAAAAATTCTCCTTTGAACTGCAGAAGATTTTGATATTTGTTCATTGAGGGGGGTAGTTTACAACAGTTTGAAAATACCATTGTTGCACTCTAATTTGTTCTGCTTTCCTTCATAGCTACTTGAATGTAGTAGTTGGCTGACGTGGTTTTAGTTCTAAATTTAGTAATTGGACTATTCAGAATATAAAAAATTTCTAGAGCAGTTTTCTAGGAGTAGGTTGAACACTTAAATATAGTCTAAATTTTTCATGTTCCATTACATTGTCTTTCTATAAAGCTCTACGGTACAAAAATGTGTGACATTAAATACATTTTCTTGACCTTATAAGGCAAGTCACAATTTGTAAACCTCCTACCCTGAGCCCTGTTATGGTACAAAATGAATTGTTCATGCTTTCCTTTCTTGCACTTTTGTATTTACGTGTCACTTTTTGACTGGAGTTGTGCTTTTGACACTTAACATATTTTGTATTGATGGATAAAATAAGAAGTGTGAAATACAGTTCTTAAAATGTTAGATGAACAGTAAATGTTCAGTAGCGCACTTCACATTCAACTTAAGCATGACAAATGAGATTGATTACCATATATATTTTAGAACCAGCAGGAGACTAAGACTATAGTTTCAGGTTTTTGAGCTGCATATTCTAGGTGTTTTTAATTATTTTTTAAATCCAAAACAAGGGATTTTTTTTTTTCTAGTTTCAGTTTTGGCACTGGATTTTATCCTGGAGTTTAAAATATTCTTCATCCTGTTCTTTTTCTATTAAGGTTAATGTTGAAGAAGGAAAATGCGGAAGTCGTCATTTGACAAGTTTTATAAATGAGTATTTGAAGCTCAGGAATAAGTGAAGCTGAAATTTGAAAAAATTAAAGAATGCATGCTAATTATCAGACCAGAAGTCCCACTTGTAGAATATTGAGCAATTTATGTGAAGTGGGGAAGATGAAAGAAGTCAGAATTTGAAACGGAAGAATGAAGAAAAGAAATAAAAATGAAGTTAAGATAAGAAGTAATCTGGAATCAGAAAGCACTACGCTAAGTAATTACTAGTCTGTTTATGTGTCCCTGTATATTTTGCTATACATGCATGCATTATTTGTTTAATAGAAGAAAATATATACAGGGTAAAGAAGTGCCTTCCAGGGGGAACGTTTAAATTAGGTAATTCTAATTTTAATTTAACTTCTTAGTCAAATTATATTGAAATGCGACTTTAAAAAAATAATCTTTTGTAGTCAAATACCAGGCAGGAATGAGCTTTCCAGCATGGGTAACAGTTGGCTTCATGTTGTTTTCTCTAGGTTTCTTTTTCGTCTTTCTAACTGCTGCTTTTAGGGACATGAATAAGTACTTCCAGAGTTGGAACTGGTGGTCTGTGCCACCCCCCTGGACTTTTACCATGCACTGATCCCTATCTTAGTACTAAGCAAATATACAGGGTGGGGCAAAAGTGGGTTTACAGTTTTGAGTATGCAAAAAATTTGTATTTTCCCCCCCATAGGAACAGCTGTAAACCCACTTCCCCCTTCCCTCATATAATAGGATGTTGTCATAATTTCCCTAAAGAATGTCAGGAGAGTGATTATAGAACCAAGCCCTCAAAATCCAAGCAAAGCATTGACCAGGATACATTTTGGCATTTATGAAAACATAAATTTGTTTACAGATGGCAATAGTGGAAAGCTATGACCACTTTAGGTCCTAACTTTTAAGGTGCATGTATGCTAAATTCACATGGATGATTCTTAATTCTTTTCTGTTTAATGCTTATTCCAGCTGAATGACAAGGGTTACTGCTAAAAATACTGTGGCTTCCCTTAGAATAAGGTGGGTCTCACATAAAAGTGAACAGGATATCTAACTCAAAATGGCAATAGCAGGTGCTTCATTCCAAAATCAGCTTTATTTCTTTTTCTCATTTCCTGCTAATTAACACTTAGCTATTATAATGATGTAAGAGGTATGGGTTTATAAAGTAGCTTTCTTCTGGTTCTCCATTCCCACCACTTATGGGAGAATAAGTCTAAAAGTTCTGTCATTTTCCTTTCTGTATGTTTTGTTGTAGCTGAATAGAAGAGTCAGATGATTGTAATGATGTTGCCTTTATTTGGATGGAACAAGTACACATCAAAGTAATACTCAATGATAGCCAACCAACAGCTGTCTTCTATTTCTACCCTATTGGAGAAGCCAAGGTTATCTATCACTTCTTTCTGACGTGAAAACCCAAAAAACAACTTTTCCTCTCACCTGAAACTTATATAACTATTGACCAATCTTACCGCAGTAAATTGAATTACAACTTTAAAAAACAAAAAACTTTCCTCAAGAGTTGTTGGATCTATTGCTCATGGAAAAGGTGGCTTAAGTTGCATTTCTAAAGGGATCCAATTTTCTGAAGCTTTAGGGCCTATCATCAATGGCTTTTTTTAAAATAGTATTTCTATTTCTATATCTTGCAAGGAGAAAATTATTTCCACTTATAGGAGACAGTTTGCAGCATTTGCCTTGTCCCATTACTTACTGCTTTGTAAAGAAAAAAAATCCACCTACAATCTAATATTAAATTCATAACGTAACTTTGCATACTGAATTACTTACAAATAGGCAGAGAGTTGAGGTAAAAGTGATGTGAATGGATATTTCTATTCAAGACCCTGGACACTTAATAGGAGACTAAAAGGTTCTAGAGGTCCAAAAGAGAAAAAACTTAATTAGTCCTGGGGGAAGGGGAAAGAAGACAATTGGGTTTGATTAAATTGCCCAAGGTAGATAAAGTGCAAAAATAAACATATTGATGTTATACTATATCACCCATTAAGGTATTTTGTTTACCCTTGGGGGTTAAGGGACAGGCCTCTTGTCTTGGGCAGTAAAGGGTGCAGATGAAGCAGAGATAAAGTTCCAGGAAGATGCCTTTGTCCAGAAAAAAAAAACAGGTAGGATGCATAACACTTCTGAAGTTGGCTAAGTCAGTGAGACTTAACTAGCATCATAAACATGTTTGGGGCTTTTAAGAAATGAAGATACCCAACTCTAGAATAGCTAAAATCTGCTCTAGATAGGCGACTTGTATTTTTAAATGTATCTAGGTCTACAAGAGCCAGTTTTAAATCTAGTTACTGCATCCAGTCTTTTAAATAATACAGGAGAAACCTAGCAATTGGATGGCTGTTCCCACTTCTGTCACCTTGCAAAGGTTTTCTTAGCTACCGCCTTCTCCCAATAGGAAGATGAGAATAAGGTGTTTTATTGTAAGGCTGACTTTTTTTCCCTGGTGTTTCCTGTAAGTTGTATGTTACTATGTGACATCCACTTCAGAACTGAATTCTTCAAGACGTTTCCAGGGAATTTTTGTCTTTGTTTTAAGTACGTTCATCTTAGTTCATGATTCTTCTTGAAGTACAGAGATCCAGAGTAGTGCTTCTTTTGGTAGGATTTAATGTTGACACCTATTGTTTGTCAGTTGAGAGTAGACTAAATTTTCCTTGTGTGGAGGGTTTTCCCAGCTGGTTTTACACATTTGCCTGTGGATTAAGGTTTAAAGTTAACTATATGCTTTTATATTTGGCTAATAATTTAATTTTAGATCTCATTTCTTCTAGACAGGCTACATTTCCTTGCATGTATTTCCAAAACCAGCTAATGGCCAACATAACTATAAAAAGGTTTAACTTTTTAAAGGATATTCTTGGTGAGAACAGTTGGTGCAGGCATTGTTTAGATGTTAACCAAGTATCAGTATAGAAAGGGAAATTTTTGCATTCTGGTGTTTCCTCCTTTCCTGGTTAAAGAAATAACTGCCCACAAAATATATATGCCAGGTAGTTTCAGAGGCTGCGTGAATTCTTGATCTGTTAGAATTTCATGGCTCGGGAGGTCTCAATATGGCTTAGAAGCTTTTTAAAGAAAGGGAATCTTTTTTTTTTAATATATTTTATTGATTTTTTTACAGAGAGGAAGAGAGAGGGACAGAGAGTTAGAAACATGGATGACAGAGAAACATTGATAGCTGCCTCCTGCAAACCCCCTACTGGGGATGTGCCAGCAACCAAGGTACATGCCCTTGACCGGAATCGAACCTGGGACCCTTCAGTCCGCAAGCCAATGTTCTATCCACTGAGCCAAACCGGTTTTGACAGAAAGGGAATCTTGACCCTTTCTATTCAGTCCCTATGCTGACTGGTTTCAATTAACTGTAACTTTGTTGGTAATCTTTTTAGCTCCTATTGTGAAGCACCCATATTCTGCTCCCTTCCAGAGCAAGTTGTCTTTGGTTTCCATTAAAGGTTATAATTGTTCCATGATATAATCATTGTGGTAATGGAGTAAACAAATGCTTTAGTAACTTTTGGGTCATTACTACTATATCTTCTCTTCTAGATTAGATTTTGCCTGTGGTAGAATCTAAGCCCCCATTTTTGGAAATTACTTTGTCCAAAAGTACCTTCTTTCTTTTTCCTTTTCTTTCCTTTCCTTTCCTTTTCTTTTCTTTTCTTTCGTACCATCTATTTCTTTGACTTTATTATCACTCCTGGAGGGAAGGAGTAGAAAATTTCACATATGGTATCACATCACACCATGTTTTATGATGACTTCAAAATGTTGGGAAGGTTTCTAAAGTTGTTGTGGCCTAGAAACCAGAACTTATTTTACAGGCTGAGTTACCTCTTTTCCCTATTCTAATCTTCAGTTTTAATGTCTCATCGTTGTATATAAATTTTTTTCTCTGGGTTTCATAGTAAGGATCCTCCAAATTTTCTCTATTGTGCTGTAAGTCTAGAACATAAAATGTTTGAGGCTGTAATTTAAAAATAGTCCTGTTCTATTTTTTCAAGAACAGCCAGGATATTCTAAAGGTCTACCACATAGGGAGGTCCCTAACTTTTATCCAGCAGCTTTAATATCTATTCTTCCCTTTACAATAATTTTGGTTCTTTTTTAATCTGGCCATTTTTATTCTATCTTGGGTGGAAAAACTTACTGAATTTTACTTATGCCTTTTAATTTGCCTAACATTTGGTAACTTGAAATAAAGGTTGTCTTGTTTGATGATGCCTTGGCTATCAGTAGTGTAAGTGTGGATGTTCTCTTTACCCAGATTTCTGTTTCTTCATCAGACAGAATGTTTCTCTGATTCCATTATTACTTAAATATGTATGCCTTTTCTGCTGATTAGTTGACCATTAGTAAACTGCTGGTTATCTTATTCATTCCATTGTTAGTTTTGTTCTGAGAGAGATTTTCCTTTTTGTGCCACTTACCTACTGGCTAATCCCAGTTTTGATTGGGAAAGCTATGGGTATGTAGTACATCTAAGACTTTGGTTTTACATATAATTCTATATTCCCTTTCTAAGCCTAGATTAGAAGTTCCTAATTTAATACCCTGGTTTTAGTAGGTACATTAGATAGCTTTTCTAACTTTTCATTTGCCCTGGCTCATCTCCCTTTGACTGAGGAAGCAATAGTTCTCTGGCACCCTCTTTACTCTTAACCTTTGCACAATTCACTACCTTTCTGCTGTAGCTCCATCTGGTTTCTTTTGTTTCTGGGTCTTCCAATGCCTCCTACCATGATTAGATGGAACAGGGTCTTAACTGTCTTGTGTCCTTCAAGCTGGTCCTTGCTTTCCACTAGGCTTCTACATTTCTCTAGGACTTGAAAAAGGTTGTCCTTCTCTCCTTTCCCACTGAATAACAATTTGAAAAGTTATGGTCTTAATAAAAAATCAAAAGCATTTTAAAAGTAAGTTTCATGAATTTCATAGGGTTTTGTTTTTATTGATGGTAACTTGACTGAAATAGGTATAATGGATAGAAGTCATAGTTATTATTAATAAGATTGTTTCTCACCCTAATCTTTATGGAATAACATGCCCTAAACACAGTCCTTGAACAGTCACTCAGCTGCTTGGCTCTGACACCTCCCCCTCTTTCTGAAGAAAGTGGATCAGTTAACTTATCCCTGCTCCAAAAAGGTGGAACTTCAAGTTAATCAGCTTATGTCAATTGGAGCAATGCAACTGTTATACTGGGTATATTCAATTCCTGCCCTTATATTTTCTGACCTTGGAAGGGGATTGCTTTCCCTCACCATTTATTTCACAGCAGCTTATTTGTTTTTAAAGTTGCCCAGAAAGTATACAAATTAAACTTCTGACATCTACGTGTAGGAATCCCGTTCTGCTTCCAGAAGTGGAAGTGCTCATGGATCTGGGAAATCTGCAAGGCATACCCCTGCAAGGTCTCGCTCCAAGGAAGATTCCAGACGTTCCAGATCAAAGTCCAGGTCCCGATCTGAATCTAGGTAAGAAAGACTTGCTCTTAGCTTTGAAATTGGTGTGAACTTTAATAGAGAGGATTGGATTAGATTATTTGTTGGCCTGTGTAATAGTTAGTAGAAATGAAGTTAATCATAAGTTCTAGAAGACCGAAGACTGTTTAATCGTTAAAAGCCTGGGCTTTAGAGTTAGGCTTCAAATCTGTTCTCTTTTTTTTCTGGTTTGGGCAGATTAACCTTTTTCCACCTTAGCTTCCTGATATAAAGGCAAGTTAGTAATAGTACCAGTTCATGTTGGTCAAAAGTATGCCATACATCCTGGTTTGACCAGGAAAGCCCCATTATAAGCCTGTTATGAAGCATCATTAAGCCCCCCCACCCCCCAATACCTTTTCTCTCTTAAAATGTGTCAATCCTGATTTAGATGACTATTCATAGCATCACTCTGTCTAGTTAAAAACAACTGGTCGCTTTTAAAACACAACAGAGGAAACTACTATGATGGTGATTTTATCTTACGTGAATGGTGGGAATAATGGAAGAAGCAGAAAAAATAGGGTGGTATTCTAAGAAGGAGACAGATTAATGGAAACATGCAGACAGTATGAATGCATGTTTCCTGATTTTCAAAAAGTAATTGAATGTCTTCGCTTTTAATTTTTTAATAAGAAAGGTTGGAAGAGAACTAGTGGTTTTGGGACTCTAACAGTTGCATTGACTATTGGTACAAAAAAAAGGTATCAATCGCCTTTGTTTTGCAGGTCTAGATCCAGAAGGAGTTCTCGAAGGCATTATACAAGATCACGATCTCGGTCTCGCTCCCATAGACGATCCCGTAGCAGGTCTTACAGTCGAGATTATCGGAGGCGACATAGCCACAGTCATTCTCCCATGTCTACTCGCAGGCGTCATGTCGGGAATCGGGTATGATAAAAAATACTCTGTTTTTGAAGCAATAGACTTAACACCACTTAATTTAATAGTCCTATCTCTTTTTGAAGTTAGAACTAATTTTTACAGTGGAGCATTAACAGAGTTACTTTTTGAGGCTTTCTAGTGTTTTGTAATCTCTTTTTAAAAGATATCTCCCAGCCTGGCCAGATAATTTAATTGATTTGAGTGACTTCCTGATATGCCAAGGTAGTGAGTTCAATCAACCCAATCAGGACAAATAAGAATCAACTAATGAATATATGCATAAAGTGGATCAACAAATCTGTTCCCCTCCCCCACCGCTGCCGCCTTTTAAAAAATAAAAGGTGTCTCCCATGTAAGGTCTACATTTGGACTATCATTCATATTTAAGTTAGAGCATTATCACATTGGTAATTCAGTCCATCAAATAAAATCTCCATGTGCATTACTGTTATTATATTAGTACATTAAATCATATAGCATCTATGTAGAGTGTGTGTTTGAGAGTGGAATGGAATTTAGAGTAAATAAATGAAAACTTGGGGTAATTTATTATGGCAACAGGAATGTTAAGATGTGATTCACTTTTCTTTATTATAATTGTAAGCAAGCTGTTTAATGTCTTAACAGTTTAGTGCACATCTTTGGAGAGGGATAGAGATAGAAATGTGGATGAGAGGGGCATTGATTGGCTGCCTCTTGCGTGCCCCCTACTGGGGATCGAGCTTATAACCCAAGCATGTACCCTGACTGGGTACCTCTTGGTTCCTGGGTCGACCCTCAACCACAAAAGCTAGGCTATGTGAATATTTCTTAAATTCCTAGAAAGTGAATCACTCAAAATTGCCCTCCTATCTCCCCCCAAAGAGTTAGTTTTTTAATAGTATGTAACCTTTACTCCTTCTACTTAATTCTAAGATTAAAATTGCTCCTGTTGTAATCCTTTCTGACCATGTGTTTGTTTGTTTTAGCTAATCCTCATCTGGGGATACCTTTTCCATTGATTTTTGTTTTGTTTCTTTGTTTTATAGAGAGGGTGGAAGGGAGGGGGAGAGACAGAGGGAGAAAAACATCGATGTGAGAGAGACACATCCACTGGTTGCCTCCCGCACACGCCTCGACCGGTGCCGGTGATCAAGCCTGCAACGGAGGTACGTGCCCTTGACCGGAATCTTAACGGTCTGTGGGTCGATGCTCTTACCACTGAGCCAAACTGGCCAGTGTCTTTCTGCCCATTCTTAAACATGCTTGCAGCACTTGCTGTAACACATTCATTTTTAAAGTGTTTATTTAGTCTGTTTGTCTACTTTTATTCATAGTGACACTTTTGGCTAATGTGTCTATAGTGTTCCCTGTTTATTTGACTTATGGCAAAGTTTTTAAAAAGCTTAAAATCTACTTTTCTATTTTTAGGCAAATCCTGATCCCAACTGTTGTCTTGGAGTATTTGGATTGAGCTTGTACACTACAGAAAGAGATCTAAGAGAAGTATTTTCTAAATATGGCCCCATTGCCGATGTGTCTATCGTATATGACCAGCAATCTAGACGTTCAAGAGGATTTGCCTTTGTATACTTTGAAAATGTAGATGATGCCAAGGAAGTAAGTAAAAGCCTGCCTGTACATTGTAAACTAGCATCCCTATTATAAACTACCAAGTATTTGAGGAAGGACAACTTTTGTTTTAATATTGTGAATAGGAAATGCAATCTTCTGGGAATAGATTGAAGTCAGTAATACTTTGAACTTTTTCAACCTTTTATTATGGAAAAAAATTAAATACATACAGAATAATTAAAAAGTATGACAGTGCAATTGGTTATATTATACCCCACTTCATTATACTTTGCTTCTGGCCTGCTATACCTCCAACTCAGTCACCCAACACCACCACCACATTATTTTGAAGTAAATCCTGAGGGCAGCACTTCATACATGACTGGTTCCAGATAATGATATACATACTAAGTGTAGTTATCTAAAATATAAGGAGGCTAATACTCTTTAGAATATTTTATCAGTGTTTACATTGAGGCATTTTCTATGATGAACAACATTTAAAATGGATAACTAACTCAATAAAAAGGAACTGCTTTCATATTGAAATGTTGGCTTCAGTCAGAACAATGAAAGTTAAAAATTAGTATGTTGACTAAAAGTGAACATTTACTTAGTGAATATGGGACATAATTAATCAGGTCAATATTAAGATTGGGAGTTCAGCTCTAAGTAAAATTACATAGTTATTTATGAAAACTATACTTATTTTTTAAAACCATTCTGCTAAAGCAAGAATGGAAAGTAAAATGCAAGTAATTAGGATAGACTACAATTTAAGATATTTAAAGGGACTTCTTAAGATTTCATTGTGCTTCATTTTAGTCATGCATGACCAAAGATATAAATAGGGTTTTTCCCATGGTTACTAGAAGCATAGGCCTTGTTTCCCTGATTTTCTATTACAGTACCACAGCTTTCTGAATAGCATTAGTAGTATTTTGTATCTGAATCAGTAGTGCTAGAAACTATCTTCTGAGGGCTTAAACTTTCAACAACGAAAACAGCATAATTGGAATTGGAAATTTAAATCTACTTTGAAGTTTCATTGCTGTATAATCTAGATGAAGGAGCTATATGTAGCTGTCTTCATTCAGCTTTTTGCTTCCATAGCAGGGATCCATCGACTTTTCTGCTAAAAATAACTAAATATTTGAGGCCTTATGAGCCATTAGGGGAATACCAGCCACAACTTTTCAGTGCTGTCATTGTAATACAAAAGCAGCAATAGACAATCTGTAAGTTAATGGCTGGGACTTAAAACCTTTGTGGCCATTGAAATTTGAATTTTGTATACACTTAAGAAATCTTACTCCCAACTATTTCAAATTATACCTAATGGTTTGTTGAATATGTATTGCTTTAGAGCTAGAAGCACTGTTAAGTTTGTTGTTAAATTACTTCAATTACCTGATTTAAATTGACCTTTGTGGCTTTTTTGATAAAATTTTCTCCTGAGTTTCATGACTAACTTTTAAAAATTTAATAGAAGAAACAACCTAAAGTTGTGGGCCATGATGTTTTAATCAATATTGAAATAAAAAATGCATCTAGCTGAAACATCCCGTCAGACTTTATTTTTAACTACTGTCCAGGATGTATATACTAACATGTATGTACGTATGTATATGTTTATTTTAGGCAAAAGAGCGTGCCAATGGAATGGAACTTGATGGACGTAGAATCAGAGTTGATTTCTCTATAACAAAAAGACCACATACCCCAACACCAGGAATTTATATGGGAAGACCTACCTAGTAAGTTTATTTTCAAGATAGAAATTTTATTGATGATTTAATGTATTCACTTCCTCTATTTGCTACAGGGAAATCTTTGGCATTTCATCTGATCTTTCCATAGTATAAATAATTTTTACTTTTTTTCTTAACTAAAGTTATATTTGGTAATATATATTCTGTGGAAACATTCTGATTGTGACACAGAATCTGATTGACACCATTACATAGATCCCATTCCACTTTATCATAAAGAAGTGCCATATATTCAGTTTTGCTTGGGTAATTAAATGTTTCTGGTTTGGATTATTTTCCCCAGAATGGAAACTTAACCATTATAGTTAAAATCAAGTTTGTGTAAATCATACTCGAGTGTATTCTTTAGTTATTTTGTTTCCTTAAGCAGAGTGGAAAGCATGATAGTTATTATTCGTTATTCTTATCAGGGTGTGTATTAACAGCTCTAATTTGGAGTCTTTTTTTTTTTTTTTTTTTTTTTTTTTTTTTTTTTTTACTTAAATATAAATCTCTTAGATAAGGCAGAGAATTGTACCATAATTGCCATGTTGTAATAGGCTGAACTTCCAGTCTCAAAACCGTGTTCTCCATATGATTTTATTTTTCTTGTTTGAAAATGTGGAATTGACAAATTGGCTCAAGTTGAAAGTATGTTAGGGTGTATGTGCCCCCTTCCTCCCTTTTTTTAAGAACACATTTCTTTTTAATTTATTGATTTTCCACAGAGGAAGGGAGAGGGATAGAGAGCTAGAAACGTCGATGAGAGAGAAACATCAACCAGCTGCCTCCTGCACACACCCTACTGAGGATGTGCCCGCAACCATGTACATGCCCCTGACCGGAATCAAACCTGGGACCTTTTAGTCTGCAGACCGACGCTCTATCCACTGAGCCAAACCAGCTTCGGCCGTTTCTTTATTATTATTATTTCAGAGGCAGGAAGAGAGAAAGATAGAAATATCAATGAGAGAATTGATATTTCTATCTCCCTTTCTCTCTAAAATCAATAAAAAATACATTTTAAAATATATATATTTATGTACATTTTTATGTTTATCCACTAGGTGAGAATTTAAAGGAGAGTAATACTCATTTCCCAGTTAACTCATTAATAGGCCTATGAATTTTTTTCTCAGAAGAAGATAGAGATTATACTTGAAGCAATTTCCCAATCATGTCCTTTAGTTTGGCTGTGTAGGTTGTGTTAACCTTAAGAAACCAAATGGTCATGGCATTCCTCTGCTGCTGTTAATAAATATCTAAACAGTTTTTAACAGCAAAAAGTCATGTCTAGAAAGATTGGGAAGGCTACTTGATATTTTATAAAGATTTAATACTCTTCACAGTGGCAGCTCTCGCCGTCGTGATTACTACGACAGAGGATATGATCGAGGCTATGACGATCGGGACTACTATAGCAGATCATACAGGTAAGTGAACCATAATGTGAGTTTTAAGTTGCCAAAGATATGATCTGAATCTCAGTTGCAACTGAGAAAGTTTATGTAAAAAGTTATAGAGGTGGTTGAAGGACCCTTGGGGCTTAGGAGAGAAAAAAGCAGAGGTAACATGCCTGGGGAGAAGGGGGGAAAATGGAAAGGTTGGGGGGGTGCAGGTTCCCTAGAAGGGAGAATGCGCCTCAGTTGCAACTTAAAGCAGCAGTATGTCTTTTGTCGCCTTTAATAAAAGCATTACTTTTTATGCCAAGATATCGAGAGCTAGTTTTTAAACCAGATTTTTAGGTTTTGTCTCTTTAATCAGTATACTTTGAGCATGGCGGAAACAATTACAGGCTATCTTTTAGTTTTTCCTGTTTTTTGTTTTAGTACTGTTTTTAAAGCAAAATAAGCTGTGCTTTGAAAGTTAACACTTTATAAAGCAGGGTTGGGAGGTGTTGTTCATCTAATGAATCATGCACTAAGTTTGGAAGAGTCCATGGAAGTACATAAGAAAAATAGTATTAGTTTGTTCATTACCAAACTTCAAATTTTTATGGAGTTGGTAAGGTTATGCTTTCTTTAAAAACAAAAAACTATTTGATAATGTTTTATGAAATTGACAATTGTTGATGTCCTAATATCTGTGGAAGTGAGACCATAGGGTGCTTCTGGCGTTGTCCAGCATCTTATTTTGGACAACATTTTATTTATTTAGAGTGTTTTTGCATTAAATGGCACTTGAGGAATTGCTTAATGGAAATGAGGGTTTAAAGTGGTAGATTTGATATTTATTTTAATTAATTTGAGCATTTACTTATATTCCTTGTTGTAATAATAGTTGTTTTAGCCAGAGCTCTGTGCCATTTTATAAAAAGAGTGGCAAAAGTAGCTCTTAAATGTTTTACTTCATGAATTGAAAATTCTTTCAAAAACTCATAAAAATTAATGAATTTCTGCCTTTACAGAGGAGGTGGTGGAGGTGGAGGAGGATGGAGAGCTGCTCAAGACAGGGATCAGATTTACAGGTATGCCAGGAGAAGGGTTATAAGTGGAAAGGGTTCACATGAAGACTCTGTTACTAGTCTTTTGGTAGTTAAATTATGAGGCATTGCTCAAGATTGGATTGCATGAAGTTCAAAAATGTTGTAACTGACCCCAAGTGATGTGGCCATGGCTTTGTGCATTTGTAGAAATTGGTTAAGCTTTTACTCAGTGGTATCATTTTTGTACTTGAATAAAGTAATGATGGTATACGGTCATTGATTAGGACCCATAATATTTTTAGTATCTATTCCTGAAAGCTATTCTCTTTTGCTACATTTTGTTGTTGTTGTTGGCTGTTGAACACTTAAGTCAGTCTTAACAAATTGAAATCTCTTTGATAAAACTAGTGAAATTTATTTTGGTTGTAGATCATGAGGGTGTGCTTAGAATTAGTGGGAAAGACTTTTTCTCATTTTATTTAGAATTTAAAATTGGTTAGTACATTATCAATGGATGAAACAGCAAGGAGTATTTGACTTCTGGTGGTAGTGGGTGATCAAACCTTGAAATCCCATGACTAATACAAAGTTTTTGAAGGTTGATGGTAATCTTCTAGTTTCAGAAACTGATACAGGGACTGCATAATTATGTCTTTCATCTAATTGTGATCTCTGGAATCTTAAATGGTTTTGATAATTGTTTACAGAAGGCGGTCACCTTCTCCTTACTATAGTCGTGGAGGATATAGATCACGTTCCAGATCTCGATCATATTCACCTCGTAAGTTTTTTACTTGATATTATTTAGTTTAAATATTGTAATAATATGGCTAGCCCTACTTAATTTGCTAAACCATAACAGAGTAACTCTTTTGCAGAAGGGGTTTGTTCAAGTAATGTTTTATATATATATTAAAGTAGTATTTACTTGTTTGTTTATTACAGAGGAAGGGAGAGGGATAGAGATAGAGAGTTAGAAACATCAATGAGAGAGAAACACCGATCAGCTGCCTCCTGCACATTCCCTACTGGGGATGTTCTTGCAACCAAGGTACAAATTGAACCTGTGATCTTTCAGTCTGCAGGTCAATGCTCTATCCACGGAGACAAACCAGTTAGGGCCAGTAGTTTTATTATATACTAGAGGACCAACACAAAATTTGTGCAAGAGTAGACCTTTCTTCCCCTGGCTTCTGGCTCTGGCTTCTCTCTGGTACCCAGGACCTGGGCTTCCCTTGCAGCCCTGGCTTTGTCTGGAAGGACATCTATTATTACTGCTACTATAGATTAGAGGCCCGGTGCACAAAAATCATGCAAAGAGGTTGGGGGGTTCCCTCAGCCTGGCTTACCCCCTCTTTAATCAGGGAGGGTTCAAGCCTAAATTGGCAGTCAGATATCCCTCTCACAATCTAGGACTACTGGCTCCTAACCACTCGCCTGCCTGCCAGCCTGATCACCCCTAACACCTTTGCCTCGGCCCTTGCCACTGGCTTTGTCCACAGGATGTCTTAGTCTAATTAGCATATTACCCTTTTATTAGTATAGGTAATCCTGCAAACTTGATAAGGTTCCAGATGGTAGGAAAATAACCCTAAAATTAAAAGAATAAATAAAGCCCTAGCTGATTTGCCTTGGTGGATAGAGCATTGGCCTGTGGGCTGAAGGGTCCTGGGTTTGATTCCGGTCAAGGGCACAGCACCACATGCACAGGTTGCAGTCTTAGTCCCCAGTAGGGGGCATACAGGAAGCAGGTTATCAATGATTCACCATTGATGTGCCTATTTCTCCTTTTCCCTTCCTCTCTGAAATCAATAGGAAATACATTTATTTAAATAAAGGAATGTGGGTAGATAGTGTCACCATTTTTAGCACAAGTGCTTATAATTTTTGCACAGCTTGGGAATAACTGTGGCTTAACCTTAGCTCGGGTTGATAATTCCCAATTGTTGCACATTGATTCTTATTTCTAGAATGACTCTTGTGTGAGAATCTCCCTGTATTTTCTTCTTTTTTTCCTCTTTTTTTTTTTATCTTCCTGTATTTTTATGGAAGAGAATCTGGTACATAGGAATCTCTGAATGACAGATCATTCTAAAATTTTAAGTAAAATATTCTTGCTAATCAGTTCTCAGTATTAATGCCCCCTCTCTCTCTCCAATTCCAGGTCGCTATTAAAGCATGAAATGGAAGGCTTTCTGAAATCTACCTTAGAGTTTGGATATTGTTTGTGGACAATATTTTTTATTGTCTCCTGTTTAAAAAGTGAACAGTGCCTAGTGAAGTTAGGTGACTTTTACACCTTTTATGATGACTACTTTTGGTGGAGTTGAAATGCTGTTCTCATTCTGCATATGTGTAGTTCGGTGCTTTGTTCCAAGTTAAGTGTTTTCAGAAAAGTATGTTTTGCATGTATTTTTTTACAGTCTAAATTTTGACTGCTGAGAAGTTTTTATTGTACAAAACTTCATTTAAAGGGTTTTTCTACTGAATCCAGGGTGTATTCTGAAGATGGAAGCCTGTGTGTAAAATGCTACCAAATGGCAAAAGCAACAATAAAGTTTGATTTTTACTTTTCTTTCTAACATCAGTGCTTAGCAGAATTGTTCAGACTAGGTTGTCAATAGTAAATCTGAAGACAAAAATGTTCATTTTCCTTTAGTCATTGGAACATACCATAGCTAATATACCTGCAACTAAATATTAAAAATTATGCTCTGTAACTCAATACTGCTAATAGTAGAACTAATGATCTTTCAATACAGCAAATGCTTAATGCTTATATTAATGTGAATTTGTCAGCCTTTATGTAATCTGTATTATATAGCAGGTAAAGAGTGGCACAGTATACAGCTTTAAAAGGTTATTTCTCAACGATGGTATTTCAACTGGTTATCAGCAAGTGACAATACATTCCACCACAAATGTACTCTTGTTCTAGCTTTTAGACTACATGAAAGAAACTGGGTGCTTCAGAATTTGGAGAAAGAAACACTACTGTGTTGTGGATGAACTGAAGACTGCCTGTTCATTTTTTAAATATTATTTCAGGTCCTTTGCATACCAGAGGAGGCCCAATTTCACTCAAATGTTTTGAGAACTGTGTTAAATAAATGCAAATGAAAAGTAAAATGCTGGTACAGTTTAGTTTACAAAGATTTTACTTTAACCTAAGGAGTACTTAACCAATGATCCTCTCTACTTGGGGGTTGGCATTGTATTAAATAACTAGTCTTCACCCTTATCCTGAGGGTGCCTGAAATGCGTGTTCTCAGAATTGTTTCTTCCGAATTTCATGTAAATCGTGGCCAATTCTGTGGAAATTGCTATAGGTGGGCTATTTGCTTGGCCTGCTGATCTTTTAATTGATTTGAGAGAGGGGAAGGGAAATAGATATGGAGAGGAAAACATCAATCAGCTGTCTCTCCTGCACACCCCCAACCAGGGAAAGAGTCTACAACCTGGGCATGTGCTCTGATCAGGAATTGAACCAGTGGCCTTTGGTTTATGGGTCAGCACTCAAACACTGCTGGACAGCCTGCTTATCTTTGTATAGTACAGGCATATCAGAGGTTTGGTTCTAGAACATCACAGGTGAATTATGTTAATTTTATTTTCCGAGTGCTTAACAAAAGCCATGTTTACAGTACACTGTGATCTTATAAAGTGCAATAGCATTGTCTAAAAAAAATATATACTTGCTGCCCTAACTGATTTGACTCAGTGGATAAAGCATTGGTCAGCAGATTGAAGGTTCTGGGTTCAATTCTGGTCAGGGGCACATGCTAGGATTGTGTCCTCGATCCCCAGTAGGAGTCATTCAGGGGGCAACCAATCAATGATTTTCTAATCATTGATGTTTCTATTCCTCTCCCTCTCTGAAATCAATAAAAATATAGTTTTTAAATGTACATGCCTTAATACTTGATTGCTTTAAAGAAAAAAAAAAAAAACAACTGCTTGAACCTTCAAGTCTATCTTTTTGCTGGTGGTGGGTCTTGCTATGATTTTGGTGAAAAAACTCAGTTTGTGCAAAATGCAGTAACAAAGGGTATGACTATATTTTTAGTATGTCCAATGTTACAAAGCACTTTACATATATTCATTTAGTCTGTAGCAATCATAATGTATTTACTTTTAAGTCAAACATTTGTTAAAGGTCCAGTGCCAGGATCAGAGCATAGGCAGTTTCAGTCCACAGTATTCATAGTTATAATGCCATTCTGCCTCTAATCTGGATAATTAATAGTTAATGAAGCATATACAATATTTGTAGGCCTTAATTTCTCAAACTTTTACTCAGCAAGATATATGCCTCTTGTACTTCCGGTAGCTATTATAAATACATAGGTCCCTTACATGATTATACAATTGAGTTGTAGAATGTTCCAGAAGGGGTGGGGAGGTAGAAGGGTTTGATTATAAGGGATGGATTAAAGGTTTGAAGTTGTAGTCTATTCACATGCTGTGGTACTGGTAGTCATCTAGTTTCATGGAAGAAATGTGCATACTCTAAACTGGTCCCTTGGGTTAATTGCCATAGATTATCATGGGAGGCAGTGAATGGCAGATAATTTAGGGATAATATTAAATTAGTCTTGAAATGTTTGAAGGGAAAAGAACCCAGTATTTTTATATGCCAATACTATCAAAATATTGCTAATAGCTGCAGGACTAAGATGAAATCAGATGTAAGTTGATTTGGAGATTACTGAATTAAAATAGCTGAAATCTGTAGTGTAAAGGGCCTAGTAAACACAGGTCAAGGGTAATTTTGAGCGGCCTTTGAGGACCGTAAGCCGCCGTAAGTGTTTGTAAATTATGTTACATAAAGCATGCCTCAAAATGAAATCATTCCCATTAATTGGTATTTAAACTTTGCAAAGCTTGGGGAATTCTGAATTAGACAAAGTTTTGCCCAGGATAAATTATGTCATAAAATTTTTATGCAATTAATTTTGGAGGATAAATATGATTGGATTTATCAATTGAGTGCACCGTCAGTAATTTGCTTTGGCCAACCAGCTAAGGCCTGTCTTGATCATATAACAAAAAACCTAAATATCTTGAACATAGGTCTCACATAGAGGAATTATGTTCAACTCTTAAAGACCAGAAACCCTAGTAAGTGACCTGTGCATAAGGTGAGCTTAAACTAGTTTTACCAAGGCATATTACAAGCTCGTGTTTTGGAAAGGAAAATTCTTGCTTTTGTGATATGGGGAACTATCAGTAATGTTGAGCGTAGATCATTTAAGGATATTGGTGATAGAAGTTTCGGAGGGAAGAAGTTAAGATATAGTACACATAAGCATTATGGTTGAGTTAGAAAACACCTTGGTATGTCTCCCTTTAAATTTACAACTGGGTGGACATCTACCTAATATAATCCAACGACGTTTCTTAACCCGAGAGATCCACATATTGGTACATCTGAAAGTGGACATATTGGAATACATGGGGGCAGCAGGACGGAAGGTGTCCACAGAATTCCCTGGCCACATAGGCCCCAGATAAGGCAGTAGCGGTGAAATAGTTGGGGTGCAGCGTCACACTACAACCCAGCAGAAAGTCTATAGGCTTCAAGAAATAAGCCCCCTGACTCCCCATCCCTCATTGTAGAGTGGTAGCAGTGGAAACAAATCTGGACTAGCTAGACCACAGTGCTGTCTGCAGCTATAAGAGGGCTTGCCTACCTGTTCCCCTCACCCACCAGTGTGGTGGTTCCCTGAGGTCTAGTCACCCAAGACACACAATACCCACCAACCCTGGTCACCTAGGTAGCAATCCCCAGGGCCTCAGCAACACCCCACCACAACTGTAGCCCCCAAAGAATTAGAGGAGGTTAAAAAGTGCTGTAGCGCCATCATCTGGGGTCCTATCAACTTGCTGAACTGTTAAAAATTGTACTAGATATGACGGGGGTGTAAAAGGACTAAGATTTTTTTAATTCTATGAGAACTATCTGACTCCATTAGGAAGAGCAATAGTAGGATAAGTGGTATCCCAGAAGAGGAAGGAAGGGAACAGAACCTATTCAAAGAAATAAAGGGAATTTTCCAAACCTAAGGAAGGTACTAAACATGTTCAAGAAGCTAACAAAACATTAAAGCTGTCAAAAATTAATGATAAGCAAACAATTTTCAAGGCGTCTGGAAAAAAGACTAACCTATGAAGGAAGCTTTATTAGATTACAATCAGATTTATCAGCAGAAACGACATCTTTAAGAAAAAGAACTGTTGCTGAGAAAAGGAAACCCTTGTAAGTTGGTTTAGAGCTTTGGAAAACAATATGGAGGTACTTTAAAAAACAAAAATAGGACTGGCCAGCGTGACTCAATGGTTGAACATTGGCCCATTAACTAGGACACGTGTCAAACACAAGGCCCTCGGGCCAAATCCATCCCGCCAGGCCTTGCAATGTGGCCCGCACCGCGCTGTCATCACTGCACTCCACTGCGTTTCCATCACAATGACAGTTTATGTCTGTTCAGTAAACCATTCGGCCCGCGATTTAGGCTGGATTTTAGATTTTGGCCCCTTCTCTGATTGAGTTCGACACCCCTAAACTAGGAGGTCAATATTTTATTCCTGGTCAAGGCACATGCCCAGGTTTTGAGCTAGATCCCCAGTAAGGGGCATGCTGGAGGCAGCTGATCAATGTTTCTCACTCATGGGTGTTTCTATCCTCTCCCCCCCTCTGTAAAAAAAAAAAAAAATCTAGAGGCATATTTCATGATTTCAAATTATATTAAAAAGCTACATTAATCAAAACAGTATGGTACTAAAAACAAACACTAATGGAACAGACAAAAGAGCCCAAAAATAAACCCACACATATATAATCAACTAATCTTTGTGCCAAGAATACATGATGCCAAGTTAATGATGCCAAGAATATACACTGGAAAAAAAGAGTCTTCAAAAAATGGTGTTGGAAAAAGTGGATTTTCAGAAAAATAAAATTGGACCTGATTACCATAAACCAAACTCCACTCAAAATGGATTAAATACTTAAATGTAAGACCTGAAATCACAAAACTACATGAAAAGGGGGGGGAGGCGGGGGGATGATCTTCAATATTGGTCTTGGCAATGCTTTTTTGGATTTGATAACATAACAAAAGCAAAAATCAACAAATGGAACTGCATTAAACTAGAAAGTTACTGCACAGCAAAGGAAACAAAATGAAAAGGTGATTAATGGAATGGGAAAAACAGATTTGCAAACCATATAACCAATGAAGGCTTAACATCCAAAATATACAAGGAACTTACACAACTCAATAGCAAAGAAAACAACCTGATTAAAAATGGGCAACTGGCCTGGGAAATATTTTTTCAACGAATATATACAAATAACCAACATGTATTTGAAAATATGTTCAACATCACTAATCAAGAGAAAAATGCAAATCGAAACTATAGTGAGATATCACCCCATATATGTTAGAATAGCTATTATAAAAAAGAAAAAATAAGCCCTAGCTGGTTTGGCTCAGTTGATAAAAAAGAGTATTGGCCTGCAGACTGAAGGGTCTCAGGTTCAATTCTTTAGGGCATGTATCTTGGTTGCAGGCTTGATCTCTGGCGCCATTTGGGGCGTGTGAGGGAGGCAACTGGTTGATGTGCCCTTCACATCTGTCTCCCCTCCTTTTCACTCTAAAAAAATCAACGGAAAAAAAATATCCCCAGGTAAGGATAAACAAACAACAAAAAAAGCATTTTTAAAAAGAAAAAGTGTTGGCAAGGATGTGGAGAAAAGGGAACCCTTGTGCACTGTTGTAGGATATACTAGTAAATTGGTGCAGCCACTATGGAAAACAGTATGGAGGTTCCTAAAAAAAATTTAAAAATAGCTAGTAATCCTACTTCACATAAATATTCAAAGGACATAAAATCACTATCTCAATGATATATCTGCACACATTTACACATTTCCAAGATACGGAAATGCTCTAGGTGTCCATCAACAGTTGAGTGAAAAAAAATGTGAAAAAAATATAGTCTAATAAAGAGGGAATGTGCTAATTGACCATGTCCTCACAAAACTGGCAGTGCCCACAACCAATAAAGAGAGGATAGGCTAACTGACTACCATGCTCAAAAAAGGCGGCACCCACAGCCACAAG